TTACATACATACATACATGCATGCATAACAAAACATAACATAACATAAACATAAACATAAACATAACAAAACATAACATAGCATTCATAACATACATAACATGCATTACATACATTACATACATTACATACATTACATACATTACATACATTACATACATTACATACATTACATACATTACATACATTACATACATTACATACATTACATTACATTAAATTACATTACATTACGTTACGTTACGTTACATTACATTACATTACATACATACGTAACATAACATAACATAACATTACATTACATTACATTACATACATTACATACATACATACACATACATATATATATATACATGTTTTATGTATTTACGTACCCATTTTGTTTGTATGTGAGTATGTTACAGGTTTTACATATGAACATAAATATATCTATATTTTATATATATATATATACATAGTATGCTGTCTATCTCATTCATGTTTGCCTAGAGCCCATGCATTTATATTGTCAAATGTTGAACTCACTTCTCCAACCGCAAGCAGAATAGAAAGCTGTGGAGGCCTCTGCAGGTCAGCTGTTCCCTTCTGGTCAGGCCTGAGACGAACATCCCATTGGCATCTTCGATGATTTGGGGTCAAAGTCATTTTTGGGGTATTTGTGCCCGGTTAGATCATACTGGATCCACTATTGGTCATAGTCTTAGCAATACATTGCTTAACAATCTATGAAACATCTATTGAATCAGTTGACAATTCTGATCCATACCTATCTCAGGTCCCCGGCAGATCATACAATGGTCGTCGCTGAGGAGAAGGTGTCCGCGATCGGGTTTTCAGCGGTGAGGACGGACGAGCACCTGTGGTTCGAGACGCGAAACTAGATGATACCGACTGATACCCCCAAACTGCCATTTTAATGCGAAAAACATTTTTATGAACTATCGAAGGAAGTTTAGAAGTCAAAATTCCGACAATGTAGACAGATGAAAAAGCAGAGGTGGGAAGAGTCAGAGAGGAGAAGAGTCGAGAGAAGATCAGAGAAGGGTAAGAGTGAGAAGAAAGAAGAAGCAGGTGTTTTTTCCAATTGTGGCCGAGGTTCGAAAAGTAGGCTCGCTAAAGCGGCGGGTGCGGAGGCATGTGGTCAGATGAGGGATGAAAAGTTGCACGCCGTTGTGGCGCGAAGCACATTTCCAAGTCAAAATGCACAAGACGCACCAACGTCGGATGACTTTTCGAAGTTGAGATGTCGAAAAAGCACACGCCGTTGCGGCGCGAAGCACATTTCCAAGTCAAAATATACAAAATACACCATTCTCGAACCACTTTTGGAAGTTGAGATGTCGAAAAAGCGTACGCCGCTGCGGCACAAAGCACATTTCCAAGTCAAAATATACAAAACACACCTGGTTAGGACCACTTTTGGAAGTTGAGATGTCGAAAAAGTGCACGCCGTTGTGGCGCGAAGCACATTTCGAAGTCAAAATGTTTAAAACAAAATGCTCGGACCACTTTTGAAGGTTCAGATGTGGTTTTGCGTGGCAGGCGCAAAGGATTCTGCACCTTGCCAAAAGTGAGAAAAACGTGAAGGTTTTGAAGCAGTTTCAACTACAACCACTCCACTACAATACAACTACCACTACCACTACAACTACAACTACACTACATTACACTACATTGCACTACACTACATTAATTACGTTACACTCCACTAAACTACACTACATTCAATTACGCCACATTACACTGCACTAACTACAACTAGAACTACATTACATTACACTACACTACACTACACTAACTACGTTACACTCCACTAAACTACACTACATTCAATTACGCCACATTACACTACACTAACTACAACTAGAACTACATTACATTACATTACACTACGCTACTCTAATTACACTACACTACACTCCACTTCACTACACTACACTACACTCAATAACACTACACCACACTACACTACACTACGCTACACTACACTACACTACACTCAAAAACACTACACTACGCTACACTACACTACACTACGCTACACCACAACTACAACTACAACTGCAAATACAACTACAACTACACTACACATTACACTACGCTACGCTACACTGCATTACACTTCACTACACTAACTACAACTACAACTACAACTACACTACTTTACACTACACTACACTAGACTACACTACACTACCCTACATTACATTACACTACACTCATTACACCAGCGCAAATGCATTTGCAACTACACTACACGAATTACACTACACCACAACTACAACTCCACTACGCTACAACTACAACTACAGCTGCACTACACCACACTACATCCAGCAGTTGTGGGTGAGGTGACCGACCGGGGTGACCACTGCAACCATTGCAGCCACTTCAAAAAACACAACTCCAACCACCTTTCGGTCCATCAGTGGATTCGCTCTGCCGTTCGTGATTCACAACAACCAACCTCTCCTATAGGTTTCCTATTTTTGAAACTTCCGCCACCGCCTTGTGCGATACTACTGGTAAAATTATAAACAGTTATAAACCATGGGCCATGGGAAAATGATAATAAGAAATGTGGCACCCAAGATTCGCATAGTTTCACACCCCGTTTTACCCATGAAAATGGCGGTACATTGGGGATCGTTGGGGTAGATCCGCATTTTTGGCACAAACACAACTGGGACAACTCTGAGCCATTCACTGTGATGATCATGACCCAAATTCACAGATGAAGATTTAGAGACCAAATTGGAATATGAGGCGCACGTCTCAAAGATATGGCTGGCACAAGAGATGGGAATTCGTTGCACCAAAAGATGTTCAAACAATCCATTTCTCCAAAATTCTATGGGACAAACATTTGATTCTTGCAATCAATTGATGATCGCCTGTCAACAAAAAAAACGGTTGCCACAAGCTGATACAGCACCTGGTGAGGCAGAATGACGTCGAAGCTGTTGCTGCAATCTTAAGGTCCACAGTTCCTCCTTTTGGTGGTGGAAACAAAGCTTCTGAATTAACAAAACATGGGAAACCATCAATCACTGGCTTGGAAGCGCCCAAATCTAAACCTCCATTGCAGTCCCAATAAATCTAGCACCAATACCTAGATACTGATTTTGGTCTTGAGTTCCTGTGAAGCAACTTTTCCCGGAGGATCTAAGCATCTCTGGTCTCCAAAGCGTCCTGAAGCCTTGCGCGATCAATTGCCACCGACCGCTGCACCTCCCACCGGGGTCTCAATTCAGTTCACACACTGAAAAAGGGCTTCACGCTGGCAGAAAATAGAAATAGATAAAACAAAACTGAACAAGACGAGGTAAATGATCGTACTGAATCAATCCAAATCGTACATTGAAAAAACTTGAAGCTTCGGAAGTGCATGTGGCGAATGTGCGAGTCATAAAACCAAATGAAAAAGGCTTCTGGACCTCACCAATGGTGATCGACAGGTTCTCCTGAAAGCAGCAAGACAACTTGCATTCTACGAAAAGTTAGCAATCACATACCATTAAGATAGCAAACATGAACATAACACCATCTCGGAGTTTCAATCCGTGTTCACAGAAGGTCACCACCTGGCGCTTCTTTTTGAGTTGCAAGTTGCAACTGCTTCATTAAGTTTGTTTTTGTTTAACCTTGTTTGAAAGGGTTTAACCTTGTTTTGAAAGGTGTTGCTTTTAAGGGTTGTGAGTGTTTTTGTTGCAGAGATTGCAGAGATATGTCTTCAAAGCAATAGTGAATTACATACAGCAGCTAAACATTCAGGGCTTCAAGTACCTTTGGAATTCCTTTGGATAGGTTTCCAAATGCTTGGATCCACCTCATTGCTGTCTTGCAATCGTGTGTGTGTGTGTGAGTATGATGTGTTATGACAGTATTAGTGTCTTCTTCACATCGATGTGAATCAACATTTCAAGACAGAAAAGGAAGGCTATCTCAGCAGATGCATTTTCTGAAATGGAACAGGAAGACCTCGTTGATATCGTTGATATCGGTTCTGATTGCAACACTTTAAAATACGAAAGCTGGAGCTTGCTATCGGCTGACATGTCATCCCAAACAACACCAACATTGACGAGTCATCCTAAATCACACAAACCGTACGACAGCTGTCTACCCTCACACCCATGAAGCTGCATTGTCAATTTATGGCAAACAGCATATGCACCTCCAATCCACGCAATTCCCCGACAGGTCTAAAGGTCCACGAGGTTTCAAAATACATTGCGCTTTAATGTCGTTCAATGGACAGCAACAGCACTTCATAACTACTGCAGAATGTGGGGAAAATGTGCGTTTTGCTTTACTTTTGCAGTGTGAGTTTCAATCCATGTATATGTTCATGCTCCTCAGGCTGCTCCGCCCGAAAGCGATCAAGATCAGCGGAGAACGAGCGCTTGTCACTCTTGCAACCTGGAGGTGATCCCAGACCAATGGCTGACCAATGGCTGACCAATGGCTGACCAATGGCTGACCAATGGCTGACCAATGGCTGACCGTTCGCAAGAACTATGCTTCCTAAGCCAAGCAGCAGTCGATGTTATCCTGCATCGAGTCAAGCATCCTTACATCACGGGAATCCTCAAACCATCCAGCCAATAACCTTGACATAAAGACTCAACTCACTGCGTGTGAAAAATATTGTCCAAGACACGCAAGTGAATCTTCCGGCTGAAATGTCAAAGGTCCGTTCTGCAGGCTACTTACCTGAATCTGGCTTGAGCTTAGAGGTCTGAAAGTGTGAGAATACGAACCGTACAGATCTAGACTAGACAGTCAGTCATACTCAAACTGAAACTGAAAGAAACACAAGACTATAAAGCCTCCACACTTGCAGCAATACAACTGCAAATGACCTGAAGTAGTTGCATCTCCCTCAAGTTTCTCAAGTCACGCAGCTGCTCCTGAATGCTGCTTGGGATTCTGAGAAGAAAAAGTATATCGAACATTCCTCTTCCCAGACCCAACCTTGAAGCACAAAGACACTTCTGATCGTGGCGTGAAATCCTCTTGAAATAACAGCTCAATCAATCATTTCTTCTACAACAATCGTCCATAGCTTGGAAAACAATGGCTTTCCTTAGAGTATCCCGTGGCTCCTGTTGCAACTCTTTCAACTGCAAGAGGGAATGCGCACGGCAGCCTTCCTCGAATCATGTCAGTAGTCAGTAGTTAGTAGGAAAGAAATTCTCGAGACCACAATCTGATGCATGAAAATCACACAAACAAAGGTGGTCTTGCAAACGAGAACTACAATCTACAATCTGACTGATGTAAGGACTCAGAATAGGATGCTCTTTTTGCTTCTAGACATTTCATCTAGACATAGAATGAAATGAAGGAAGAACGAACGCAAAACATTGACAGCTTCTGGTTAGATTCAGGCTTGTGGGTAGTTTTCTCCTGTTTCAGACTTGAAATCAGGAATGACCACCACACGTTGTTAGATTCAATCAGAAAAACGAATGGAGAATCAACTTTGCAACATGTTGCATCATGCTTAGTATCTTGCAGCCACGATTCTGTGTTTGAAGTCAACAAATGGTCACGTCTTGTGCTGTCCAAAGGCAGGCTCTGGGCATTCAGTGACATACCTTCCTTCAGCTCCTGCACTGAGACATTCCCAGTAGAATACTTGGCTGCAGGAACTGCAGGAGCTGCAGCATCATGCCATCGTCGGCCTCTTGTTTCGTCGAGCACTCCCTCCAAATCTGAGTGCTGCTCCGCTGCAGTTTGCTCCCGAGTCTCTGCTTCTGGATCATAGCCAACTTCCGACAAGCGGTCCCAATCTCCATCTCTTGCCCTCTGTGAAGCAAATGCTTCTTGCTGCTCTGCGTGTTGACTTTCGAAATGCCTCCGGTCGCTCAACACATTCATTCCAGAGCGAGCTTGGCTGAGGCAAGATTTGTCGCTCGTAATCACAGGCTGCTGGCACTCATTTGATGCCAGAGCAGGTGGAGTTTGTGCAGCAAGGAACAGCTGAAGTACCGTGTCCAAAGCAATGGCCAGCAACACACCCCAGGTCATCATGAAGGCTGCAGCTAGAGGTTGGGTTTGTGAGGCTATCTTTCCGTGAGCTTCCCTTGCTCGGCGAAGTGCATCTATCGCACTAATGTCAACACCTGCACCAACTTTGAAGCTTTGCTGAAGAAATGTCTCCGCGGCAAGCAACCTGTCTTCCAAACCAGGAGGTAAGTCTTTCATCAGATTTGCCCACGACAATGATGTAGTTGCTGCATCTTGCTCTGCGGCCATCTCGGCAATATGTGTACGTCCAATGCGAACATTGCACGCCATTTCAGCTTCAGCAACCCTCTTTTGAGCAAAACGAATTGCTTCATCAGCTTCTTTGTCCGCTGCCTTTGCTCGAGCCTCAGCGGCCTTTGCTTGTTCTTCAGCGCTTATTGCTAAGGCATTGGCATCAAGCAAACGATTTTGCGCCCGACGTTCAGCCGAACGAACGGCCACTTCTAGGGCCTCCTCACGGTTCTTCATTTTGCACTCAGCAACTTCCTGGGCTGCCTGTATTTCTTGCATTTTTTCTTGCCGTCTCTTCAATGCAAGCTCCGCCAAGTTTTCTTCCAGCTCTGCTCTCCGCACCTCTGCTCTAGCCAACTTCACCTCAACTTGCTCCGCGAATTGCTGCGACAACTGCTGGGACAGTTTCTCCGCAGCTTGCTCTGCAAATTGCTCCTCTGAAGCTCTGAGATGAGCTGCAGCAGCACTCGTCTGCTGGGCTTCAATGACAATGGCACGGGCCCGAGCAACTTCCTCTGCTGCTTCTGATGTCTTCTTCAAAGCGAGTCTTTCTTTTTCTTTCGCTTCAATTTCAGCTTCTTTGGCCTTCGCGCACTGCCTCTCAGCAGCTGCCTGGGCAATTGAAACAGCACTCATGGCAGCTTCTACAGCAGGCATCACCCGCCAGCATTCTTTGTCCAACGGTGATCCTTGCTGTCCTTGGATGACCCATTTCTCTGTGACTTGTCTGCCACTTGCGTCCACTTTCTCAGAATCGCGCTGATCTGACAGGATCTCAAAGCCTTGCTTTGGCACGGACCAGTCCAGTCGAGTCCCTGTTTCGGAGGAACTCTCTGAAACTCCGTCCCGCTTTGGTATTTCATTGGCCGAACTTTCTCCTGAAGCTCCGTCTTGAAGCTTCAAAATCAGTCTGGCCATGGTGTCCCGCCAAATTTCCTCTCCAAACTGCGTTGACTTTGCCCTTTCAGCTTCATCAGCTTCATAGTCAGACTTGGAAACAGGAGGCAGTCGCCAATAATTTCCAGTGCTGTCAGCTACCTGGCGCAGAAACGCTGGATGCAGAAAGGAAATGTTTGATTGAAACTAGCAGACTTCCTATACACAGCAAAACTGCAGAGTGCAGAGCCTGTTGTGGCTTTGCGGTTTCAGCATCTCCAGCACATGTGTGCAACAGTGGCCCTTCCGAAGCTGCCATTTTCATGGCACTCCATGTTGCAAGCAGCACAAGCTCGGCTGGTGACCAATAACCTTCCTTTCGAGATGACTTCAAGTGCAGTGTCACTACATCTGAATATTGAAACATATTGAAACTATTGGTCATTTTGGTCATGTTTCATTGTATTCTGAAATGCTTCAAAATCAGGTCACTGCAATGCATGGCTGAATGTCAACGCAGGTTGCTACCGCGTGATTCGTGTTTTTTATTGAATGGTGCATTTGCTTTTCAATGCCCATGTTGAAGCTGCAGGATTGCAGAAACACATAGAGGCTGATAAACCATCATTTCCTGAGCGTTGGTCAATTGACTCACCGATACCTTCATCCATGTACTTTGTTTCAATTCCATTCATTTGGGTACAATAGACAGTTCATTGAATCACCAAGTGAACATGTTTCCTGATATAACAATATACTGACTGTAAGCAATCAATTATAAGTTATGAGTTGTATATAATATGTAAGTATATGTAAGTTATGTAAGTGATATTGGACACGAATAATGCCATTGTTTTTTCTTATTTGATGGCATATTTTCCTGATAATTTTCCGAACGATGCGGCCTTCGGGCACCCACTGAGTTCTTGTAGGCAACGGACAACAAGTTGCGTTCATCAAGGCCTGGATGTCAAACGAAATCTTTGACAACGACAGCCCCGAACCTTTGACAACGCTAATCAGCCGCTAATCTAAGAATCCAAGTACCGAAACATCAGAAATCCCACTGAAATGCCATAGAAATACCATAGAAATACCTCTGACAGCCTGTGACATTCGTCGCAAAACATGTCGGCTCGATTGACAATGCAACCACAAAAGGGATGGTGGAGACTTAAGAAGTTTGGACGACAAACGAATTTGCTGGCCGATTTTGCAAAATTTCGAACCAAAGTCTCCATAAACAGCAACACACGAGGTTCTTGATAAAACATGTTTTGCTTACATGTTTTTCGACAATTTCACCAGTTTTGGGGATGTTTTTTTTGTATTTCATATTTTGTTCGTTATCAACCTCCATCCCCGAGACACTAAGCACCCGAACTGAGTTCTTGCGGAACAATGGCAACCCTCCTCATGAATTCAACCTTGTTTTGGCAAGGATTCTGATTTTTTTGCACGCTCACAACTTTGCAAACAACAACATTGGTCAAGTCTTCGGCCATATCTTCGTAGCGTTCAGCCTAAAACATGGATGTTTTGACACATTGAATTTCATGTACATGCATGCCTGCTTGACACTGCGCCTGCTCCGCAAGTCTGGCCATGAACACATTTTGATCTCGAACCGACCTTGTCATGCCATGCAAAATCATGCAAATAGTGGCTGGCCTGAAACAATGTGATATTTTTTTGCAAAAATAATGCATCCAAGGAACATTTCCGACCTGATGATTGCATGAAATAACTGGTTTTGATCAGGTCAGAACGGCATCACACCATATCACACACAAATAAAGTTCCTGAAAAAAACAAGTCCAAAATGATCTCAAATCGACATTTTTTCTGCGAATGGTTCTGAGGTGGGAGCATGGCTGCAAGGTGCTCTTACTGCCTGTCATATCATCACAGCCAATCAAATCACCATGTCCAGAATCAAACCGGCTGAAATAGGGAGGCAACGGATGTTTTCCGCCCAGCCTGAATATGACGGCAGTTTTAATACCAGGTGCACCCGCATGCTTGAACCACAGGGAATTGAATGGAACACATTTATTCCAGCATGTTGCCAATAATTGTCTGTCACATGTTTTGAAAATATGGTTTGTTGCGGAACACGAACTTTGGAACCGTCAAAAAAATGCCATTGTTTCTTCTCGCATATTCCTCAACCAATCAAACACTGCATTGACGATATGACCAAATGCAAATGTTCATGAAAATGATTGCAAACAGAAAATGTCATACGTATGCATCACCACAACGAACATTTACATTGTTTGCAGGGTTTAATGCAAAAAGAACAAAACGTCCATTCACGTACAAAAAAAAACACAACAACTAAAATGAAACAAACCGACGGAAACAATAATGATGTTTCATTTCAAGTGTGTGAATTTATTTGGGAATGCACGTGATATTTCAAAGCCACCACTGCATGAAAAAGTAGTACAATTATGAGTTCCCGGGCCAGCCTGGCTCTGGAAAATCAAAAATAAATATTTGGTGATTTTTAAGTGATTTTTAAGTGATTTTGGAGCCAAAAAAAACAAATAAAACAAAAAGGAATAAAATGAAACTAGTGAAAAACATCATGATTTTTCACACGGTGTTAAGTTTGGAAATGAAGAGAAAGGAAGAGCACACAAAACACAAGCATGTGGAAAGAAGAAGGTGAAAAAAATAATTTGAAGACAGAAAGTAAAAGAGATAAGAAAGAACAGACAAGAAGGAAATCAAAGACAGAAATAATATACGCAATTGAAAGGCGCAGAGAGAGAGAGAGAGAGAGGGAAAACAATTAACAGGAGGAAAGAACTTGCTAAGCCTGCCGCACTCTTCAATCCTCACCCCCTTGCACACCAAACCGAGCAGTTAGCAAGGAAATTTTTTTAACATGCAAAATGTTCTGTCCTTCAATTGCCACAAGATAAACCAACCATTTTCAGCAAATGAATGTTCATTCTACAATTTTGAGATTTTATTTTGGGAGTTGATTTGTTAAGTTTGCTGAAATCCTTTCTCCTTACAGTGTCGTGTGGCAATCCCACTAGCTAGGTATAGTGGTTGGGCGTTTCCTGAGTTTACTTCATATTCCAAGTCAAGTTGAAGAGTTGCCCTAACCGTCTGATTCCTCTTTCCTTAGCATGCCCCAAAATAAACCAAATAGTTTCAGAAATTAACTGCCCTGCCAGGTTCTTTCGGCTAAGGTTTGGGATCAAATTTAAGGTGTTCAACTGTCTCCCCTGCTTTCCCAAATTCTCTCTTCTTTACACTGCCACTAAGCAAGCCGACTTGTTTGAAGGTGACTGAAAAAATCCGTATGCTGCCTGGTTCTTCTATCCTTAAACTAGGTTTAAAAAAAATGATTGTTTAAGGTTCAGTGGTGCTGAAGTCACTGAATTTGCCATGTTCACCATCTGGGCCAACCCCCTTGACTCAAGGTCCTCAATCCTCCCACCAAGGCAAACCCACTCATCGAGAGCTTTATGGTCAAGGACTAGGATTTTGTTGAAATTTGCCTTCCACAAGCTGCAAGACAGCAGCATGGAACCTCTACCGCGGGGCCTGGGTCACTGATGATGAGACTGACAAGTGGTGCCACTCACGCATGTGTGTTTCTGGCGTTTTCCCTTTTTTTCTTGACCATTTTTTTTATTATTTTTTATTTTTTTGTTCTTTCAAACAAAAGGTGTTTGTGTATTTTGTTTTTGTTTAGACTCAATGTTGTCATTTGTTTGTTTGTTTTTCTTGAGCTCCAAAACCGTTCTAAAATTGTTTGTTTCTTTGGAGGAAAAAAATGAAAAGCGCCTGGAAAATTTATCGCAAAATCAAAACCGATTTTGGAGCGAAAAAATGCAAAAAATAAAAAACAAATGAAAACACGCATATAAAATCAAAAACGATTTTGGAACTCAAAAAAACAAAAAGAAAAAAACATTTTTTTTGCTAGGTGAGCGTCACCTACACTAGGGCCACAGGCGGAGCTCAAGAAAAGCGAAAGAAATTTGGAGGGTAAACATCCAAAGTGCTGGGGCCAAGTACGAAGCAGTGCCCTTTGCCACACTGTAATGCACACACAATTTGGTTCATACTCGAGCTTCCGTTGCTTCAGTTTCCCTAATACAGAACTATGCGCATGACATTCCAAAGCATGTGAATCAAAGGCAGCTGCGCAGGTGCTTTCTATTTTAAGCGTGGTGCCAAGGAGGTCCAATCTGTACAAAATGTATTAGAACCAGCGGGTCCAATATTAGTACAGCCAGACCTAGAAGCAGACCCCAATTCAAACTGACACCGATCAACAACCCAAAGACCGGGGTATGTTGGGGTCAACCAGTAGAGGTGGGGAGTTCCAACAGCACCACCTCCAAGACCACACAGTGGCGGTGCATGGGGATGGTGGTGGGAAAACAGATCAGGGGAAACTTGAAGCAAAAATGGCCACGGACCAGATACTGAAATTTCCGGGTCCAAAGTATGAACACATATGTACAAGTACATGACACGTTCATACTCGAGCTTCCGTTGCTTCAGTTTCCCTAATACAGAACTATGTGCATGACATTCCAAAGCATGTGAATCAAAGGCAGCTGCGCAGGTGCTTTCTATTTTAAGCGTGGTGCAAAGGAGGTCCAATCTGTACAAAATGTATTAGAACCAGCGGGTCCAATATTAGTACAGCTAGACCTAGAAGCAGACCCCAATTCAAACTGACACCGATCAACAACCCAAAGACCGGGGTATGTTGGGGTCAACCAGTAGAGGTGGGGAGTTCCAACAGCACCAGACAATTCGACCATCGACCAGCCGGAGTAAGAACTCCCCAAAAACACAATCGATGGAAGCACCCAGTCAGCGGACTGCAGTTGGCCTTTTTCTCGCAGATGAATGTCAAAATGCGAAGGCCACTTTCGACCTGTTTGGGTGATCTCAATGCCGGATGACTGCAGCAGCTGCATCCAAGGAATGAATTGCTGCGACCGCGGATCAACGGCAACAGAGAGCTGTTCTTTGAATCGACTCAATTCGTCTGCCAATACATTCAATCGACCAGGAATATGAGTGATTTGAGGATACACTTGATTTCGTCGCATGAATTGGAAGTATGGAGTCAGTACAGCTGCCAGAGCTTGAGTCATAGTAAGACCTTTGGCTGTGGCAGCGTCTGCTGCGCTATTGTCAGTGGCTTGGTGACATGCTATTGGCCCACGAGTGCAAGGTAAGTGGGTAGCAATGCAGAAGGATAAGGCAAATTGGGCTAACAATTCCCAAGCTGCGATGTGCTTTTGCATGTCGTCACCTATCCACGGCCATAGCGACTGAGCTTCCTCAAGTGAGATACGAAATTGAAACCAA